GTGTCATCCCACAATAGACTCATGAGCCAGCTTCATCACTTGAGTCTGGTATTCTGTTAGTACTATGATCTGTATAACTTTCCCAGCATAACTACCTTTATAGATTTGATACAGCACTCCCAAATTTCTGCAGTGAAGGGTCTTTCTTCTGTGCTTCCTTCAGTTCCCATAGACCTACATTTTAGATGTTTCCTTTTCAGACTTGCAGGGACTTGGTGTATTGCTTACTCTTCTTTTCTTGAGCTCTTGTGGTGACTGCATATGCCTCATCAGTCTTCTTTCTATTTGGTTCCTCCAAACTTCTACTGCCTGGTATATTTCCAATCACCAAGTCAAAGATGAGTGCCTTCACACACGTATCCTCAAGGTCTCCCACATAGTATAGAATGTCCACATTTACTCTTGCTATGGGAAACTTTCTCATTATTCCATCAATCAGCACACACAGACGTACCTTCTCTCTAATCTGGCCATCAGGTACTAGACTGCTGTTACTTGTTAGTGAAAGACTTGCACTCATTTGCAATGCACCCCATTTTATAACAAATATAGCATCTCTTCTCCCTTTTGTCCATTGAGCTCTTGTCACCTTTGGTGGTGTCCTGTTTCTGGTCAGCCACCTGGTTTCAACTTTAACTGGTTATTCTTTGACTTCCTAGTTATTCTCCCTCCATAGGTTTCCATATACTGTTTTGCCAGCTTGATCATCTCGTCCACGTCTTTTGGTGCTCTCTCCTTTAGGAACAGCGATATGTCAGTTGAGCATGTGATCATGAACTGTTCACTTATTAGTGTATCTGCTAGTCCTTCAAAACTATTTTCACACTTAGCCATGTCAGTACATCTTGTGAAGTATCACCACAGATGGGCTACAGACTGAAATGCCGTTTCTCCAGTGTCAGGTTTGACTTCTCTAAACTTCCAACAAAAACTTTTCTAGGTAAGTTTGTAATGTTTCAATAAAAAGATTTTCAACTTGTCACAGTACACACACATATTGTTGATTCTTACTCTCGAGAATCTTCTACAACTTTGGAGAATAGGCGGGAGTTTCGCAATACATATTTAACACTATAGGCTATGCATGTTTCTAAATATAAACTTAATCTAAACAAACATTGATATTAGAATAAATATATAATAACAAATTCATTACAAGGGATATCAACGAAACCGCAAGAAAAATTGCCACCCAGCTTGGGGTGATCCCAGGACTTTGACATAAACCTCGAGGACAGACTTTATTTATGAGAGAGGAACAATGTAGTACTTGTATAGCAATTGATGGTAAGTTAACCCTTTAATTCAGTTGGCAAAACATACATCTGGCATGCGAGACGTCCCAGTTTTTATCCTGCTCATGGGACATGCGATTACCATACATGTCCGATGCTGAAGGTGCTTTGTGCATAGAGTTTTAGCACATTTTGCTCTAAACATCAGTGCTAATTGTTAGTTTAGAAGCACAATAAGAATGTGTGCACTTATCAATCAAATTCCTTCACTATTTTATCTATAAAAATACTTTATTTTTGCTAGAAGATATTTACTTACTGAGCAGAAGTTAACAGCTAAGTCTGATATTGTTAAGTCAGAAGACGGTCCTTTAAGGATTTCTTTACATCAGTATGTCTACGGTAGAATCGATAACATTCTGCATTTAGACTATTTAAACCGAATAATATGACATTTCTATTTGTATGATTTGTTTCTTATGATAATAAAAAATTGGAAAGGGAAGATTTTTTTATGTGTTTTCCATACGTATTGCTTATGTGTTTCCCATACGTATTGCTTATGTGTTTCCCATACGTATTGCTTATGTGTTTTCCATACGTATTGCTTATGTGTTTTCCATACGTATTGCTTATGTGTTTCCCATACGTATTGCTTATGTGTTTCCCATACGTATTGCTTATGTGTTTCCCATACGTATTGCTTATGTGTTTCCCATACGTATTGCTTATATGTTTCCTATACAAATCGTATGCAACGCAAATAAAGCAGTTCTACAGGGACAAAGTTAACCCAGGAAGCCAAACTCATAGCATGGCTGTACCTTGTGGCTTAAGATTACAGACAATAATTCAAATATTCACAATTTATCTAAATTCATAAATGTGTTGGAGAACGCTTTGAATCGACTTGCGAAAGTTACCTCTGAAAACTAACAGTGGGAAACGGCTGTTGATTTCTGCCGTGCCCTGAATGAATAATTAGGAAAGAAACGGCTGTTAACATATGGCGTACACTGAACAAGCAGTTACTCATTTCTTACAAAGACAAATTATTCCAAGTTATGATGGATCAACTTCAGCGATAATGTGGCCTTATATCGTGAAAGATACGGGCCGTATACCGTGATGGATATCGGCATTACACTGTAATGCATATGTTTACATAAAAACAAATGTTATACTTTAAACAATACTTACAGCTAACGCAAGCTCTAAATTCAGAACATGTTTACAGGTCTTATCGATGTCTGTTTTCACGTATAATCTGATGGCGATTTATTTTATAGATTATGCGGAAGTCTTGTTCTATCGATAAAAGTGAGAACAGAGAGAAAAAATTAATGTGAAAAAAAGGTTCCTAGATAGTTTTTTAAATTCTGATAGACAGATAGTAAAAGATGGAAGTCGATATGGAAATGCCCAAATGGCGTGACGTGGGTGCAAGCATGACGAGATGCGTGACGCTGAATGTTTTTATTAAACGTGAATGACAAGTAACATGTGGTTGTGTGAGTTACCTTACCTTTGAACTGCTCCCTGCTGCAAAATATATATATGTGTGTGTGTGTGTATACATACATATATACATGTTTATATTTTAAATTTATAGTTATCATTGAAAACTAATTATACAACTAACTTAGCTAAATATTTTTATTATCTGAATTTACCCTTTTTTCTCATACGTTTAATTTCTGTGATCTAACTTTAAGAACACTATTTGTATATTGTTCTGTGTTCGTTAAGAACGCTATTTGTATATAGTTTCTGTGTTCGTTAAGAACGCTATCTGTATGTTATTTCCTAGTGCGAATGATGTATGGTAAACAGATAAAAACCAATGTTTTAAAAATACATTAAAATCTCATTACGATTGTAGTTGTAGCGTCCTACTACGAGGTTATAAATTTTGTTTTACTTATTTATTTATTTTGGTAAAAGACTGAGGAAAATTCAAATCATTGTGTATTTATCTCTAAAACATCGTGCTTACACGATGTTCTGATACTCTAGATATTTAAAGAGTGTCTTTTCTTAATCTTTTATATACCGGCTTACTACAAAAAAGAAAATTAGTTTAGAGTTAGTTTTATTAACTCCAGTGGCCTTTCCTGATTTTTGTTCTGGTGTGTATGGGTTATTTCCCTGAAGATCGCTGTCCTTTCCTGATTTTTGTTCTGGTTTGTTTGGAAGGAAAGGACAGCGATCTTCAGGGAAATAAAATTTTTTTCTGGTTAGTTTGGGTTAGTACTTGGAAGACCTATGTAGCTTCTCTTCTTTTATAAATGTTTGTATCCAAAAACGTCTTGTATACAAAAAAAACAAAAAAAAATTGTAATACAAAAATCTACTACCCTAATTACCTTGCGCGACTTAAAAGGACAATACACCTCTCTAACAAAGTCTTGATTATTTCGCTAAAAACAGAGAGAGAGAGAGAAAATGCCCACTTTAATTATTGATTTTTCCTAAAGAGCCAAATGATTATTCTCACAGGAAGATTGAACTATTGAATTCGTTAATTCGTGCACTGTAGTAAACGTTTTTCTCCCTTCTTCCTTGGACAGCAGCCTTGTTGTTTATGTGTACAGATGATTCTGATGCTAATTGGCTTGAATGTACAGTTTACTTTTCTCAGATTATGTTTATCGAGGTATAGAACCCTAAAGACAGTTGACGTTAGTGTCGAACTTTGTAGCATGTCCTAATACATTATTTCTGTACGTTTGCTAAGTGCTAATGTATCTTATTCATGACATTAAAGAAAAACCAAAAAATTAACAAGCGTGGTGACCTTTGGGTTCTAGTCGGCGTTACAGTGTACTTACCACTTTCCGTAACAGTGATTTTTGTCTGCGTTTGAAGCTGACTTTAATTGCTTTATTAGCATATCTAATAAAACGGTGTAATGACAAATACATCAACCTAATGAAAGAAGTGGAGTACATTTTATTTCTGTGTTTCTGAGACATATAAAGACGTCTTTCATAATTTTAAATTTTAAAACTTGCATGATTAAATCCAATTTAAAAACACGTTGTAACATATCACTCAACTAAAAATGCATGATTTAATTTTACGGTTCTTTCTTATCTGGTTGGTTGTACGAGGTGACTTGTTATTTAATGAACCAATGATAATAACAGTACTGAATGTAAATTCATATGTATTTTCAAAGTCTATAAAGCAACTGATAAGCTCAAGTACCATTTTAATAAACACTGATTTAACAAACTAACCTTCCTTGATTGGAATCACTAAAGCATTTGCGTTTTTGTACATGTTTTGTTATTAACCCAAAGCTACACAATCGGTAGGATGCTTTGTTACACTCGCAGGAATCGAATCCCGAAATTTAGCGTTATAATACCTCAAGCTTACCATTGAGCTCTTGGGGTTTTGTATGTGTATGAAAATGCTGCATCAAACCCGGATCAAAGCTTACATGAAGGTCCACCATATATAAAAAAACACACACAAAAGAATTCATCCTAGCTAGATATTTGATACTGGTTTTGTTAGGTATCTACCATTAAAGTTATTTTGGAGAGAGCATTCATTTCCGATCTACTTTTACGAAATTAGCATAAATCGTTTAAGTTATTGTATAATTAGTTATAATAAGTTTCCACTATGTTTTATTTGGCTTGTTTGATGTACCAAACAGTGATCATTAAGTCATGCGTAGATCTAAGAATTTTTTTTTTATGTTAGCTTTCTTCTATGCCACCAGGAGTCACTAATTGATATTTTCTTATGCAGGTGAATGTGCTGACGGTAACCCTTGCCACCACAACTGCTATGACCTTCACGATGGTACCTTTGAATGTTCTTGTAATGAAGGGTATACTCTCGCTAACAATGGCTACAGTTGTATAGGTAAGATTTTTGTAGTAGCTCCGTTATTTTTTTAATAGTGACAACTAAGCCTAAAAGCACATTAAACATATTGGACCAGTCGTTCGGACCTGATATCAAAGGTGTTAATTTGCACTTGTAGATTAAACGTTCCGGCAACAAAATTATCTATAAGAAAGTATTATAATTGAGTAATCAAGTTTTAAATGTAGTTTCGTAATAACATCTGATGAACTAGTTTAGATAAGCCACAACGTCACTGTCTTTTTGCACTGGAGGATGGATAGCGATATGATTGTGAAATAAATTATTATTATTATTAGTTGATATTCGTAGATTTTACAGGTTGACTAAGTTTAACACACATTATTTCTCTGAGTCAGACGAAGAACGTTTTTAGTGTAAATGTTCATCGGTTACAATGATTTTGTTTTATTAAATAATGCTTATTTTATTACTTTAAATGTTCAAATATGACGAAAAATATGTCAAGACGTTTAACTAAATTTAATTTGGTATTTTACAGTGTCACATTACTAAAACTGTCATCATAAGTACGTTATGAATTGAATAAATGAACTTTCAAATTTATTAGTTCAATTTTATGACGTTAAAATATTTTGTGTTTACAACTTGCAACGGTTAAGGCATAAAGGACAATAAATAAATAACTGTATTTACAGGTTATGATGCTTAGGCCTAAAATACGTTTTTATTTTAGATTACACAGTATTCGTTTACAACTGACTACATTTAGGCCTAAAAGACGGTGGATAAAGATAGTTTTTTCATTCATTTGGTCTTCCCAAGAAAAACTACTTAACTAATCATAGTATGTGAAAGAACGTTTACGTAGATACTAATACTCTTTTATGTAAAGACAGTGTAAATAAATAACTGCCCCTATATCTTTTCTCCTGTTTCTTTGTTTAGCTATGCATGCTCCTGTAAATCGGAAAGCTGCACAATGAGCTAATTATGCTGTGCGTTCCAAAGGGATCGAATCCCGAATTTTAGCATTGTAATCCTACAAGCTTACCACTGTACTTAATTCTCTGAATCTCATAAGCACTTTAAAATCAGTTTAGCACATAAAGAAAGTTTTCGTCTTACTGGTTTATTGACGAATAGTTTGATTTATAAATAAATTTTAAACTCTCGTCACCTGTAGGTCAAAGTGTGCGTGTCAAGATTTTTGAGAAAGTTACATTCAAAACTTAATTAAGCTACTTTATTATCATTGTATCGAATACATTTGGCGTCAAAACTCACTTAATAAATCAAATTTTAATATTATATAAGTTATTAATTTTATAAGAAAATATTTAAAATCCTCAATCTCTCCAAGTATGAAAATTGTGAAATTTGTTCTCTATGTCTTCCCTCTTTAATTTATTTACCACCCCTCTGAGAAGTACGGAATTTAAAGTAAATTACTTATTATGATGTAAATATTACTCAGGCAAAGCGTAATTTTTGTAGCCTTCATTTGTATTTATCTACAGAGCCAAAAAAAACTAGAAAATCAGACCGACGTGTCACATTCAGTCTTTCATAAATTGCCATTAGTTCTCTCTGACGTTTTATTCTATGTTATTTATAACAAGTAAGAAGCCATAATTTAAATATTTCAAATGTCGTATTATATTATGTTGTTTTTTGTAGAGGACATTGTGTATTTTGTCATTCAGTTTTAAACTTATTCTCGCGGGAATCGCATCGACGAGTTAAACGGAATTTGTAACGGCTCTTATCGCACAGTTAGAAAGCCATAAAAATTAGGATAGTTATAGGTCCTTGTTTGCTTTTGTATATTATTATTATTATTCCGTGTTCTTAGGTGCATTATTTAATTAAATAAAAATTGTTTCGTGAAGTAGTGCCATTAGTATAAAAGAGTAGGTTAAAGTTTCATGGACAGCAAAAAAAAAAAAAAAAAGAGGAGACCCAGGTACTTTTTTGTACTGTATTTTTTGTTTTCCGCGTGTATTCTTTATGTACTATTTTAGAAGTAACTAAAATGTAAAACTTAGAAACTTGTTAGGTTAGATAATGAAAAATAGTAATAATTCTTCACAAGGTATGATCGTTAACAGCTTGTGCGTTACGTAATTCGATAGATAACGTGAGCTACACGTTCGCCAAGTGACTTACAACTTGTGTGGTGGGATTATTAGTTATACACGGTTCAAAGGGCAATAAAATTAGGTATAAACATATGTATACTGCTATGAGCTTTAAGCTATTTAGGATAAACATCTGTGGTTCCCTGTTACAATTTGCAATCATTGTGGAAGGGGAAAAAAAGGGTAATTTAGATTCATTTCCTATCTTTTGTGGAAATAAAATAACAACGTTTTACTGAAAAAAGTCGATGTTTACTTAGGAGGAATTACGCAAAGAGATTAATTGACAATTTTAATTATTTTGTGTACAAAAGACTTGTTTACTGACAGCTTGCGAAATATCGTGAAGATACATAAAACATATTCAAAGTTATAGTATGGAAACTATGTGATATCGATCACAGAACTTCCAGAATAACTTGTTTAATCAAACCAACGATTCATCATTATGGTTTCATGGTATCTAACGAAAAAGATTGGTATGATAAGTTAGGTTACATTACGAACTAAGCGTTGTATTTCAAGTCGTTGTTTTTATATTACTATAATCTAGTTATAACAACATCTTAAATACTTTAGTCAGCAATACAAGGTCTAAAGGAACGAGAAACTTTTGATTTTAAATTTCGCAAGATAATTCTAAAAAGCTGCTTTATAAAATTGCATACATTTTTCTATTTTCACTGCACATTTTTTACCTTTAAAGAAATGTCGTTACACTTGGGAATCGCGATATAGCAACACTTAGTTCCACAGAAACAACAACAAAAACTTGGGATTCGCGATATAATAACACTTACTTCCCCAGAAAAAAAACTCGGCAAAAAATATTGATAAGCTACGATGGACGCAGAATTTTCTCATAGAAGAATTTCCTAGACAGAAAAGCGGAACGTTTTTTCTTTGTTGAATTTCGCGCAAAGCTTATATAAAGACTATTTGAGGTAGCCATCCCCAATTTTGAAGTTTTTGACTAGAAGGAAGGTAGCTAGTCAACAGTGTTCACCCTCAACTTTTGGGCTACATTTGCTAGTATAATATAATTTTTATACTATTATTTTCTACATTTTTTTATATTGAGTGTACAGTACTTATTTTTTGAATAAAAATGCTCTTATAACACACCTACGACCCAAAATGTGCGCACGATTTCTTTTTAGCGGTAACGGACACGACGTACAAAATTACAGATCCGCAGTTCGGCACGCTGACCAATGGGCCACGCTAGGTCGAGCATAGGAAAGTTACTGTAATTTTGCTACTAAGCTTTATTTATTTGCTGCTGGTTCTATTAAAAATACGTGAAAAGAAATTAACCTGTCAAAATACATAATAACGTTGAGCGTATTTCGAAAGTCTGTTTGATTCGGGATCAGGTGTTCTTTAAATTTTGAATTTCCCAAATGGAGAAGTCAACTTACTTCATGGCACCTGTCGACATCGCGAGTTTGATGTTACGCCGAGTTTCCAAAATGAGATTTCTTTTTCATTTTTTTTCCCCCGAGAGCAGGCACTGCTGTCTTTTCAACTTCTTGGATCAATGATACTAAGTACTTTATCCTTGGTTTCATTCGTTCCTCCAATCCGGTTCATGACAACCGTAGTTCCACGGATTAGAAGGTTTTATTGGAACAAGCAGAAAAACATTCTTTCTTTTCTCGAAGGAGTCTTATCTGAAAAGAAAGGGAAGCTCATTATGGTCTAGGATAAGTTTGAAAATATTTCTCTTATATCGTTTCTCCTCACTCGACTATGTTTGTACAGAAGAAGGAATATCAAGAAGAAACAAAAATTCTGTTAGGGAAAAAAGGGGCTGTCAAGAAGAAATCAAAGATGCTGTTGAGGAAAAGAAGGAATATCAAAAAGAAGCGAAAGATATGCTGTTGAGGAAAAGAAGGAATATCAAAAAAGAAGCGAAAGATATGCTGTTGAGGAAAAGAAGGAATATCAAAAAAGAAGCGAAAGATATGCTGTTGAGGAAAAGAAGGAATATACAAAAAAGAAACGAAAGATATGCTGTTGAAGGAAAAGAAGGAATATACAAAAGAAACGAAAGATATGCTGTTGAGGAAAAGAAGGA